TAATGGGGGGGATAAGGACACATTTGTAATACCTTAACTAATAAAGAATTTAAAAATATTTAAAAAAATAAAAATAGAAAAATTAGCCTGCTAGACAATAGGGTAGTGAAAGCCTGCGGCAGAGGGTGGGGGCAGGCTGGAGAGGGGTCAATGGAGGAAAAAAGGGAACATATGTAATACTTTCAACAATAAAGATTTTTTTAAAAATTAGCCTACTAAAGGACCTAAATAGACACTTCTCCAAAGTGGACATACAGAAGGCCACAAGATATATTTAAAAATGCTCAAAGTCACTAATCATTCGTGTGAGTGTTCCCCATGTCCTGAGTGATTCAGGGTTCAGGATCTGGAGGAGGGGCCGCACGCAAATGAAAGAGACGAGACAAGAAATAATAATTCGGAAATATTGGGGGCCAGGCAGGCAAGCCCAATGCAAGAGAAAGGACTTCCACTGGTGCTCAGGCCTCCTCAGCCTTTTATTCAACTTTGGATACACATCTAGCTCATAGTCAGGCACGTAATTGCAGTAACAGATAATCTTAAAGGTCAGTAAATATTAGAAGGATTTACTCTGAGACTATTTGATCAGGAAATAGCTTGAGCCCCCATTGTCTGGACTAGACAATCAGTGCATAACTCTAGCCCTTGCCATGGGTTCAAGGTTCACCAGCGTTCCCGGATCCTTGTTTGCACTTCTCTGCTAGTGAAGACAAAGGGTGGCTTCCTGCAATCCAAGAGATGCAAATTAAAACAACAATGAGGTATCACCTCACACCTGTCAGAATGACTATCATCAATAAATCAACAAAGGACAAGTGCTGGAGAGGATGTGGAGAAAAAGGAACCCTTCTGCACTGCTGGTGGGAATGCAGACTGGTGCAGCCACTATGGAAAATAGTATGTGTTATGCCCAGATTTCAGGATCCCCAAGAACCCACATCAGGGAGCCAGTCCGATGCAATAGCATAAGAGTCTTTATTCGAGCTAGCTCGGCTCCCCCAGCTTGCCGAGGCAGCGACAGGAAGCAGAGAGAGAGAGAACTCTGTGTGGAGAGGGGTTTTATAGGGGGTTGGAGTAAGGGGAGGAGAAAGGGCTGTGGCCTTGCCGATTGGCCAGGCGCAAGTCGGTGTCTTGTTCCTGGGTGTGGCTAGCAGAGGCTTAGACTTCCGGGAAGAAGCTCCTTGCCAAACACATGGCCAAGGTAAGATGGAGCACTTACCCTGGGGCAAGATGGAGGGCGTAGCCCTCGCCCTTTCAGTATGGAGTTTCCTCAAAAAATTAAAAATGTAATTGCCATTTGACCCAGTGATCCCACTTCTAGGAATATATCCTAAGAAACCTGAAACACCAATCAGAAAGAATATATGCACTCCTATGTTAATAGAAGTGCAATTTATAATAGCTAAGATTTGGAAACAGCCCAAGTGCTTATCAGCAGATGAGTGGATTAAAAAATTGTGGGACATTTACACCATGGAATACTATGCAGCGGTAAAAATGAAGGAACCCTTACCATTTGCAACAGCATGGATGGACCTGCAGAGTATTATGCTAAGCGAAATAAGCCAGCCAGAGAAAGATAAGTATCACATAATCTCATTCATATGTGGAATCTAAGTAACAAAATAAACTGGTGAACAAGATAGATCCAGAGACAGAGAAGCATGAAACAGACTGACCAATTTCAGATGGAAGGCGGAGGTGGGGATGGGGTGGAGAGAGATTAACTGGGAACATATATTGAAATATGTAGCCCATGGACAGACAATACTGTGGTGAAAGCCTGGGAGGATAGCGTGTGGGATGGAGTGGGTCAATGGGGAAAAAAAAACAAAGGGGACATCTGTAATACTTTCGAAAATAAAGATAAATTTTAAAAATTAGCCTGCTATAATTTGGCCAAACATTTAATTAACTCACCCCTAATGCCTTGGCAGGGCCAGACTAAATGATTTCATGACCAGATGTTCCCCACCCCTGCAAGCAACTGAGGCACAGAGAGGAAAATTGACTTCCCCAAGGGCACACGGCTGGTAACCTGAAGAGCCAAAATTGCAATGCAGTTTCCAGAGTCCAGGCTTTAACCACCACATGTACAGCCTCTCCAAATAAGGGCAATAAATGAGACTGTACTTACTAAGGGCTGTTATGAGGATTAATGACATAATGTATGTAAAGCCCAATATATGACAAGTGTCTGATAGGTAGCAGTGTGTGTGTTATAGATTTTTCCTTCTGCACTTAGAAATCTGCATGGCTTTGTCTTGGGATAGAAAAAATAAAAGAGGTTGGAGGAAAAAGAACAGAAGCCAGGGGAGAAAGGGGTGAGGTAGAATATGGAAGAGGAGTAGTGGGGTTGTGGGGGAGGAAGAAACTTTCCTCTACCTTTCTAGTTCCTTCAGCTGGTCTAATATTAAATAGACATGAGACAAACTAACAAGAGTAAATAAATTTAATTACATATGTATGTATGGGGACCTCACATACATGAGAGGTTCAGAGACAGAAAGGAAAAATGAGGTATATATGGCATTCCAAGCTAAGGATGAGTAAAGTGCCTTGGGGCTTTAGTGGAGAGAAAGGTCATTCCCAGGCTGATAAGAGGAGCAGGTATTCGGTAATTAGAAGTTTGCCCTGCCTTATAGATAGATCATAAAAAGTCATTTCTGATGATAAGTCTTTTTATGTGCAAGGGCTCTAATTTAAATTCTTTAAAGGAGAGGTAAAAGTTTATCATGAACCTGCAGGGTCTCTGTTGTTCCCTTTAGCTCAAAATAGTCTGCATACCACAGAGGCACATCTTAGGGTGACTGGTTCTGAATCCTTACAGGGTAAACAAGAAGAGAGGCAACCCTGAATACTTAGGAAACAAGAGTCTAACTGGCTGGGCCTGGAGGGAACGCGGTGACTCTTTCTCAACAGCAAACAGAAACTTGCCAACTGCAGAGCAGATGGCAAATCCGAGAGGCTTCCGACCCAGGAGGCCTCCTCCGCCCCACCCACCCCATCCACC